GTAACGGCGGTACATGTATTCCATTACTCCCCAACACTGTTTGCTTGTGTGTTCACAGTTGTATAGGTTGAATTCAGTGTTAAATGTTATGTTAAGTGTTACACTTGTTTAAATGATGTTTTACTTTGACTAAAGAGATTTCGCTGTTACACATGTAGCAAAAAACTTCACTTCATTTTTGACATTTAAATTGCTTTATTTAAAATTTTTCGACAAGTTTTTCAAATAGTGACAGATACCGCTCTGCTCTTTCAGTAGCTGCCCTATTCCTCCCTAGTCAGAGCCTGTCTCTCTCCCTCTTCCTCTATTTCTGGTCTTTTAAAAATTGAAGTATAGCCTGGCTGTCCCTGGCCCTTTTCCTCTGGCTCTTCCTCGACACTTCGGTTAAGGGGACGAGGCCGGAGTGATGACTACACCACCTGCAGTGGATGTGAGGTTTGCTGCAACTACCAGGGGCAGACTTATTGAGTGCTGCCTCTGGAGCACAGCATCCATCATTTTGTACCACTGCCAGGTGGCGGCAGTTGGGCTACCTTCCTCTACCAGGACTAGACAAGTCAGGACCAGACGGCAGCGTGGCAGCTGTGGGTGGTGGCGCTGCAGGAGGTGGCTGACTGGATTCAGAGCCGTCAGCGGCCACAAGGTGTTGAAGCGATTCCTCCGACCCTTCATCAATGACGGACGGCTGAAGCGGCTCCTCGGGCCCCTCAGCGATGACGGACGGCTGAAGCGGCTCCTCGGGCCCTCCAGCGGAGACAGGATCAGGGCCAGCAGGCATGGAGACCTCTGGCAGACTCAAACCTCTAGCAGGATCAGAATGGCACCAGTAGGCTCTGGCAAACACAAACCAGGCTGGAGCTGCACAGGGCGTTGACACGGTGCAGTTCTCAGGGGGCTGCTTAACCTTCAGGGGTCCATAATCAGCTGGGGACTGAGACCTAGCCTCTGGGGAGGCCCTGGAGTGAATGACTGTACATAAAGCAGCTAAGTTTTGAGAAACACCCTGGGTGGAAATGAGATTTTCTCCCTGCAAAGAGATAATGGATGGTTGAGTGGCTGACAGAACTGAAGACTGAGCTGCAGGTAGCGGGGACACTGGGGTCGACTGAGCTGCTGTGATGAAAATGGAGCTGGTGGAGGAGCTTCTGGCTGGGCACTTGACCGAGCTTCTGGCTGGGCAGCTGATACAAAAAAATATAGCCCCAGAAAAAATTGTCCCACGGTCCAACGAAACAGAAAAAGTATCCTTTTCACTCACTGCAACCGGCTGTTCAGAAATCCCGGCATCCTACTGCTGAGAGGAGTGACGTAGACACAGTTTCCTCCCGGGAGAGGGAACGGAGGTGACGGGAGAAGTGGGAGATGGTGTAGAGATGAAGGCCTGCTCCTTCTCCTCCGACGACCACATCGTGGCCATCAAAGAGGCAGGCGAGTGCTGATCCAGTTGAAGTGTGGAGGGGGTGACAGAAACACTTTCCCAATGTTGCTGTCACTGCTGAATCATGGCGAGCTGAGTCTGCTGTGGCTTCTGCTGCGGCTTCTGCTGCTTTGACGTGGATTGCCGGGAGCGGGCAACATCTGCTAGCTCCTGAGCTTGTAGTGTGTCCCAGACTCGATGCAGCTCTTTAAGCAGGTCCGTTACTTCTGGGAGGTGACAAAAAGAATTGCCTCGACGGCGTTTATCCCAATCACCCTTGCCCTGTTATCCGAGGTGTTATCTCGCTTCATCAGGCCTTGGATGCGGGCCAGGTCGTGCTCCTGGGATGAGCCCGCTGGGTCCATCATGGGTGGCAGGCAGGCAGGAAAAAAGACCCAAAATGCAGGACTCTCAAACACGGAGGTAAAACTCAAAGTGCAGCTTTATTGCTGGGGAAAGACCTCTTAACAAATTAAATAGACCAAAAAACAAAACAAAACTCTGGACAAAGGAACTAAGGACTGAAACTCTGGAAGAGGAAAAACTAAACAGGAGCATGCAACAAAACACACAGCATGTTGCAGGTACAACGCAACAGACAGCACAGGAAAACACAGGGCTTACATACACAGGGGAGTAATCAGGGAATGGGAAACACGAGGGAGACACAGCTGGGAGAAATTAGGCTAACGAGACAGGGGAGAATTAAATCTGAACACACTGACATGAGACATGAACTTTCAAAGTAAAACAGGAAACAAGAAACAATTCACAAAGACACGGACTGAGAAACACAGACTTTACACAGAGGGAACACACAGGCAGAGAAGACTAAGCACAGAACTAAACCTATACTAAACATGAAGGCATAAGAACAAAACCTAAACCAGAATAAGCTGGAACATAGAATAATAATCAACACAGAAAGACTCAGAAAATAAAAGCCTTCCTCTTAAAACCCGACTCTATATGGTTCCATATCCCTAAAATATCTTTAAAAAGTTGAGAGGGTTGGAGGATTTTCTCCTGAAATGTGATTTGATATATTGAAGTTGTCTGGCAAACTGTCAGAATATAATAAGCAAGTCTTGTCTTATCTGAGGATGGTTTTTGCCAATAACTTCACACCCCATGGCTCCACCTTGTGGAATAACAGGATGATTACAATTAATAGGAAGTCATTACTCATTAAAGAGTGGTATGAAAAAACATCGTCTTTATAACAGACTTACTTGATGAGAAGGGGCAGTTTCTCGAAAAAGGTGTTTTCAATGTCAAATTTAACATTCAGTGTTCCCTTAGAGAATATCATAAAGTTTGTAATGCGATCCCTTTACCTCTGTTCAGTTTGATACAAATTATTTATATTACTCTGAGGGACAAATAAGTTTACCTTCTTTACAGCTAAATCAGATTCCTTTAACTAATAAAAAGTGTAATAATAAAATCATAAATAAAATACTTAAAAATACATTATTTCACAATCTTAACAGTAACACAAAATTAAAAGGGAGTAATGTTAAAATAACAAACAAATATGTACACTTTTAGAAATGCCCCCCTCCCCCAAAGTTAAAGAAATGCAATTTAAAATAATCAATTGATATTACCCAGCAGCAGAAATGCTTAAAAAAAGGTTTGGGTTTGAGGTGGAGCCATGTGGATTTTGTTTACAAAATGAAGACAGTATTGATCATTTGTTTCTTTTCTGTTCAGTAACAACTAACTTCTGGCAGGATTTGGTAAACTGGATGAGTGTAAGAATAGATGGGATGACCCCACTGATTCTAAGACAGGTTTTATACAATAATGATTTTCTGTCTAAGGAACTTGCCATGCTTCACAATGTGGTAATAATTATGGGCAAATACCACATCCATAAGTGTAAATGGCAAAACAAAAGACCTTCCCTAAGTGGTTTGAAGATTGAATTAAAGTCTTTTTTCTCATCTTTAGAATTACTGAAGGATTGTAAAGATGCTGCTTTGATATGTGAAAATGTGACAGAGTTTCTATCCTTTTAATGAATGTGTTTCATTTGTTGTACCAAGTAAGCCTCATGTATGTTAAAGTATTGACAGAAAGGAAAATGTCAAATGTCTGGCCTTCACATATTTATATTGTTAATTTTGTTTGTTTGTTTGTTTGTTGTTTTTCTCTATTTTTTCTTTCAAGATGTTGTTGCACCAATGTTGTCTCTCAATGAGAGTTTGTAAATTTGTGCAAAGACTAAATAAATATATATATTTTTAAAAATCATTCAAATATGTCGCAATGTTGGCAAAGAGAGGAAGTGACGTAAGATTTGCGCTTGCGAGGTGCCGATCGGGTTTCCGGTACGGATCGGGTAACGACAACAAGCACTAGAATATGATGGAGTGGAATTGTGCTTCCTGATAGCTAAGAGTAAATATTGAAGGCACGTAGCAGAGACTAAAAACCACTCGTTTTTCAGAAATAAGGAGACAAACAAAACGCTCTGTGCAACACTGGGGAGTAATTTAAAGGACAAAATAATTCAGTTTTCCGGATACCTCAGCAATCTCAGGTAAAACCATTGATGAAAGGAAAGTGCCACAACTTTTAGTCATTTCATATCGTCAAACTAACAAAGAGCATCAGCATCACATTTCTTCATGAACAAGAGACTTTAATACTAATACAATGTGTGAGATAATGAAGACTAATACAGAATTCTTCATTATCCCACATTAGAAGCAGCAAAATTACGGATCAAAGTGAAAGTACATTACGCAGTCTGTTTAGATCATTTTTAACATGCGTGCTAACAAAGAAACATATCAGAATAAAAATGTAAGTTTTAAAACTGGCACAGATTTTGGTTTAACAAAGTTTTTTAGAGGCAAAGTTCCCTGTAAACATGGCTGTAGCAGCGTTGTATTTTCTTAGTCAAAACACTCGAAGTTATTTACAGATTAACTTCCGGGATTCGCCATTTTGTGATAAGACAAGTAATACATCTTTCAAAACGTAGTAACGAGCAACGATCTTATTGACATTAAAACGTGTTGTCTTCTGAGGTGGACAAATAACACTGGTCTCTGGATGCTGTGAGACGAGTTCACAGGGAGCATCTACAAGAGGAAAAAGAGCATTCAATAACTTCACTCTTAGGGAGTAGGTCCTCACTAAAATGACTTCATGCATCTGTGGTCCTCAGTAGATCATACTGCAGCACTTGGGTAGGGAAGATTAATTCGGTTACCCCCTGAGCTCTATCCTACAAAAGATAATGTATGTGTCTATGTACAAAACAAATCCTGTCACTAAACGTAGCAGTGGCCTTAAGGTGAGATAGCTAAACAATATTCCGATGATGCATTTCATTATATTTAAATTGGAATTTGCAAGAGAAAAATCACTATTCCTCATATCCAACTTCATAGTTAACAAATAAAACACCGCCCAAATTTCTAGAAGCCAAAGAGTAAAACTGTGACCTCTTATAAGTTTAGGGAAAAATGTATGAAACATGTTTTTATTTTATGCTCATTATGACAGACTCTTGCATGCATTATCCATATTGGTGTACACCTTTGACATATGTTATGTGTTGTCAGGTGTTGATGATGTCTGGTAAAGGTGTATATGTATCATGAAATAGCTTCACTTGAGTACCTGGAGACAGTGGTTTTAGAGAGATCATATAACCTATTTAAAGAAGTCATAGGTAAACAGGTCAAGTGAAACAGGCACAAAGTTGTGGATGTCTTTGCGCTTGGTCACTTGGTGGGTTTTTTTGTTTATTGTATTTATGAGCTAGTTTTGTCATTTGTGATTTTGAATTTTTTTTATGTGTCAAAAGAATTTGCCATGTCAGACATGAATTTTCTTCAACTTGGAAATTGATGTTTAAAAAATAAATCAATTAAACTGTGTGTACAAATAGCAGAGTTGCGTGAATCATGGAACCCACTAATAGCGAAAAAAAAGAAATATAAAAACAAAGTGAATAGTTTGAAGCCCAGAAACATAGTAATAAAAAATATACATAAAACTAATGGGATAGTAATGATGATGATGATGATGATGATGACCAAGCAAAAAAAAGGAATTGGTCCAGTTTATTTGCACAATCAGTATGCATAACTTGAATGCTCTGATCACTTTCCTGTGTTAAATGCAAGTTTTAGAGAATTACGCCTAATCGGCTCCGTATGTTTGCTTGTCTCCTGTGTAAAGAGGAGCAGAGTTTGGAGTAATGCCCCAAGATTCACTCAGAGAAACTTTTTTTTGTGTGTGGGATGTAAGATGTGTGACCTCAAACATTTAATGGAGAAGGACATTAAATCTGATTAAATTATATGCATAATTTTAAGCCAATGTACAGCTTCATTCCTCAGTGCTATTCCATATATTTAAATGATGGGTGAATATTGGGTCCCACAGTTATTGGTAGACATCTAGGACAATTAATGGAACTTAGTTATCATTAATTCTTTCTGTGCATTTACTGTGACTGTAAAACATGTTTAATAGAGCGCCATGTAACTGCAGGTCATAAAGGGAAATCCTCAAAGATAATAAGCAGTAAATAAGTGTTTTACCCTTTGTGTGTATGTTTCAAGAGGATCTGTTGTTCTCTCAAAAGCGGTAGTGAATTAAGACTCCAAACTGCTTTGTGACTATGGAATCCAACACATATTTGTCATCCAAGTAGTGCTAAGGCTTCTGCCTACTAGGGAAGCGCAGTGGATTTGGTGGCATGACAGACAATATACATGTCCAAAGTATGGAAGTTCTCCCTAAGTTATAAATCATTTTAATAAGCACTGACATTTGGTTTCTCGTTGTACCCATTTTATCTATCCACTTGCTCCTGATCCAGCAGAGAAATTGGGAAGAAAAATTTTGAATTCAACAAGTCAGAGAATCAGGAGAATGTAACAGACGAGATTTGCAAAAAACATTTATCCATTTATACCATTTTTTAAAAATATATATTTTTTTATCTACCCTGTCTGCTGTTTAAAGTAAACTTGCTCATTTGCTTTTAAACTTGTTCAGCCAGTTAAATGGTGTAAACTTTAACACCTTTGGCATCAGGGGCTCTGAAACTCAGGATGTCCTTGGGTAACTTATTAGTATTATCGTCTTTTTCTTCTTCATTTTCAGGTACCTGCCATTACCTTTACCAGTAGCTGAAGAAGCAAGCCTGAAGCAAAACAGAATAAAATGGGGAAGCTCTACTGTGTCAACATTTGTGGAATAAGGGGTGTTGTGAAGTCGATCGACTTGTGCAACACTGAGGAGCAATTTAAGAGTATGACCGTGGAGCAGCTGAAGGACAAGATAAGGCAGACTTTTCCAGCTACTCCAGGTAAAAGCAATGAGAAAAGAAAATTGATACAACTTACAGTCATTTGATATTTTCATGCTAGCAAACAGCATTAAATTTCTTGGAAATTCTTGATAAGCAGATTTCTTCACTACAGTTCATCATCCCACATTTAGACTTTGGAAGCAGCAATATTAGGGATCACAATTAAAAGTACAAAGTGCAGCATGTTTAGATAATTTTGTTAACCATTTATGTTTGTGTTTTTCAACACAACAGTAGGCAAAGTAGGAGTCACAGAACTCAGAAGTTCAAAAACATAAAGGGTTGGGTTAGAGACCCTTTATGTGTATGTTTCAAGAGGATCCGTGAGTTGTCTTTCAAAAGCAGTAGTGAATTAAGACTCCAAACTGCTTTGACTATGAAATCCAACACATTTGTCATCCAAGTCGTGCTAAGGCTTCCTGGAGGAGGATATCTGCCTACTGGGGAAGCGCAGTGGATTTGTACTAGTAGCTTCACTCTGTTGTTTTTAAGCTGGTTCAGCCAGTTAAATGCAAACTTGAACACCTTTGGCAACAGTGGCTCTGAAATTCCGGATGTCCTTTGATTACTGTGATCAGTATTATCATCTTTTTCTTCTTCATCTTCAGTTACCTGCCATTACCTTTACCAGTAGCTGAAGAAGCAAGCCTGAAGCAAAATAGAATAAAAGATCCTTGTCAAATAAATAATGACACACAGATCAAAAACATTAAGGGCTGGGTTCAAGACCCAGGATCATGACATGCTCCTTCTGGGTAGCCGGGAAACCAGATCAGCTGAATAATGATGATGAGGAAGCATAGTCTGACAGAGAATCCTTTGGTACACCAAAGGATTCTCTATGCTGTAGTAATTCCAAAACTTATTTGGAATTGCTACAGCAACCCATAGCTGGATTATTGTTAGGACAGGTTACTCAGATGAAATTACTTGGTGTTACCATAAATCACCATGTTTCATGGTCTCAGCACATCGACTCTGTTATTAAGAAAATGGGACAGGGCATAGCTATGGCTAGGAAATGCTCCTTTTATGTTACTTCTTCAATTATGAAAGATGTCATTAATGCACTAGTATTATCTCATCTAGAGTACTGCTCAATCATTTGGTCAGCAGCTAATAAGACAGATCTGAACAGACTTCAGTTAGTCCAGAATAAGGCAACCAGATTAGTGTTACGGTGTTCATACTATACAAATATTGATAAAATGCATGAAGAACTTTTTTGGCTTCCTGTGCAAGCTAAATTATACTATGGCTTACTTGTATTTGTAACGAAAGCAATACTGTTAAACACACCACATTTTTTTCTGCTCAGTTGCAGCATCCAGATGAAATACATAATAATACTACACGATTTTCGGCAAACCGCAATTTAGTAATTTCTGGAGTTAAAAGCAACTTTTTGAAAAACTCTTTTATATTTAGAGCATCTTTTCAGTGGAATAATTTGCCTTATTCAATTAGAGAATTGGCTTCTATTCATAATTTTAAAAATCACGTAAAAGCCTATTTAGGCAGTTTTTAATTATTGTAAATATTGTAAGAGGGCAATGTCATTTGTAATGGAAATTTGTGTATTTTGTCTTAGTGTTATTGATATTTATATGCTCATATTTTCACAATTGTAAAACCTCACTGTGGATCTAAGAGCCAAATTATGTGGATATTTTGCATCCACTTTATTGTGTAATATTTTATTTGATTGTATTTGATGGTTTGGGCCCCAGGAAGACTAGCAACCACTGTTGTGGAAGCTAATGGGGTTCCTTATAAATAAAGAAACAAACAAACACCACTAACCAATTCACATTTACAATCAATTTCCCCCGTCCAGTGACATACTCGCCGAGGAAGGGACTCTTGGTTATTGGCATATTGAAGATGAAGCTAGAGGTTATAACAGACATCGTTAAAAGCAAACAGAGCAGGTGACACTGAAGCAAATTTGACACTCTTGGCTGAGGATACATGTAAATTTGGTAAAATTAGAATTTGCATTCGTGAATTCTCACCCAGTTGTATCAAAATTAATAGTGAATCAGTGTGAAACTTTGACAAAACAATGTTGAACTGCATTCCATCCTTAAATCACTAGCTTTCAAGTCGGTGTCCAAAAAATGATGTGGGTCTTATAGAACCACATTTTGTTAAAAAGACTAGTTGAGTTATAGTCTTGCACCTTTCATCCTGTTATGCGCCCAAAACCCCAACCCCACAGAGGATGTATTTGATCCCAGAGAACCTAGTAATAAACCAAATATCACCATATAATAATTTAAAAAATTGACGAAGAAAGAACTATATAATAGTTTTCAATAGCAGCAAAACAGTTAATTGTGTTGATGTTAGTAAATGATTTAATACTTAACCAACATAAAGATTTATTCTGCCCTACAAAAACCTGGTTACAGGAGGATGAATTTGCTAGTTTAAATTAATCAATATGCTTGAGTTATATTAACTCTCAGGATCGTTAAAGCACAGGCTGAGGAGGAGTGCCAGCAATCTTTCATTTTAGCTTAGTTTTTCAATCAACCAAAGACCTAGACAGAGTATTAATCAATTTTAAAGCCTTGCTCTTTTCTTTGTGCTCCCTAACTGGAAAACACAACACCCTGTTTTATTTGTTATTCATCACCCATCTGGCCCTTATTCCAAGTAGGGCTGCCACAAACAATTATTTTGATAGTCGACTAGTCACCGATTATTTTTGCGATTAGTCGACTAATCA